TGGAAGCCTACGTATCCAATGAACAATACCTTCTGTCTTACATGGATCTCCATCCTAATGCCAAAATAATCTACTTTCCAAGAACTATGTTAAATAGAATATCTCTTTTAATCAAATCAAACATTACTGTTTTGACTCACTCATTATTTGTTTATTGTCTTGTTTTTTTTTATTATTTCATTAAATTTAAATAGTTTGTTTTTTATGAGTTTCTTGCTTTCAATACAATTGAAGATATGAGTTTGATTTTCAGTTGTATAATTTCATTTGGATATTTTAAGTTTGTATATAGCATTGGATATTTTTTATGATGTTTGTTTCTTGTCAATAGTGAGTTGAATAATAATTTTGTTTTGAAGGTAGTTAAGATTTTAAATTTATATTTGTCTATTTGTCAATATTGCATTTAACATATTTAAACTTGTATTTAACAATTATTATTTAAATTTTGCAATTAAAGTTTCTCATTTAGTAATTCGCATTTACATTGTATTTATATACAGTATTTTAAACTACAAAGTAGTTGTAAGGACCTTGCATATACAGTATATACAAATCCACGGCCTTATCCTAAGGTCCACATTTAGCACTCTTACCTTGTAGCTAATATAGCTAATTGATACGATCTCTTGTAACTCATCTTTAAACCAATAAAATGATGAACTTGACTAAATTAAATTATGGAGTATAAAATCGGATGCTTTTAAAAATCATCAGGAAATCATATCGCAATGTCCGAAAAAATTTAAACTACATATCCATTTTACTCAAAGACAACCAGTGATCATTTTTTTTCAATCACAACAGTCGGCTTCGACCTAATATTTTCTTCCCATGCAACCATTCTTCCCGAAGCATTTCCACTTACGATAAAGTTAAGACTAGGGTGAAACATGTTAACGGCGGGTATAGCAGTTAACTTCTCATCATCTCGCAGGTTCCAAATCAATTCGCCGTTTACACCGGAAATCACGTCGGCCGATCTTTTCATGTTGCCAATAATAAAATGAGGATGAACATCCGGGCTCGGGTGCCACGTTGCACGAAACACAGATATCCATCTTCCGGTATTGTTATCGTGTGGAATAATCAAAGATGATTTCAAATTCTTATCAGTATCGAAGTTAAACACTCTCACCGTATCATCATAGCATGTAAATACTGCCTGATCACCTCTCGGACTCCAGTAGCAACTCGTGACTGAATTGTTAAAAGTGAACTTTTGAATAGGCGTTCTCTTATTAACCTTCAAATTACGAATATCCCAAAGTTGAATAGATCTATCCAGAGAGGATGTGATTAACAATTCTGGTCGGAGTGGATTAATGGACAAACACCCAATCTTTCTGGGATGTAAAATATATTCTTTAAATGTATTAACAGGTTCGCGAAGATCTTTAATACCAAACGCTCCGTGATTCGTTGAAAAGTAGATTATTTTGGCATTAGGATGGAGATCCATGTAAGACAGAAGGTATTGTTCATTGGATACGTAGGCTTCCA